CGACACAAGATGCGGCGCGCAGGTGTGGAGGGCCTTCCGCTTTGTTTGTGTGTTGGTGGCTGTGCAGACTCTTAGAATACTCACATACGACACCAGGATGGGAAACAAAGGAACTATTATTGTCAGCACCACGCCAAACAGGCCGTAGATGTTGTTCACCTTGTTCCCAGAGCACGCCAGCTTCGCCACCAGGTAGTTGTGGCAGTAGAGGTAAGATAACGAGTTGGAGCAGTACGTGAGGCGCAGACTGAGTGACACAGTAATCATTATCTTGATGAAGGAGTAAATCCACACCACGAGAATCATCAAGGCCACCCGGCGCAGCGTCATGAGCGCGTGATACTGCATCGGCCGGCATATGGCCAGGTAGCGGTCGTACGCCATGAGAGCCAGCGTGCAGAACTCCACATGCGCGTAGGTGTAGATGCAGAAGATCTGGAGGAAGCAGGCGGCAGCGGAGATGAGATGGACGTCGAGAGGCAGTTGAATTAAGAGTAGCGGGAACAGACCAGTGCTGCCGTAAAGCTCGTTCACACAGAGAGAGCAAAGCAGCAAATACATGGGCTCATGAAGACTGCGGCTCACCACAATCAGCACGACGAGAAAGCCGTTCAGCACCAGGATCAAAGCGTACAACAGCGCCACCGCCAGGACCAGCAGGTATCGCACACTGCCCAGAGGAAGGTACGCGGTTAGCACGAAGAACGGCAGTGTGGAGTTAGCAGTCATGTCACAAGGCCCGGACACTTACTTTATAGTCAATTAACCTTGAGTTTGTTAAAAAACCCTACATATACTATTAAAACTTAACAGCAGGATGTTTGTTCTGATACTCTCCGAAGTGCTCAATGCAAAAAGAGCATTGTCACTTCTCTGTCTGAAAAATCTGATCCAAAGTTGTGACAGAGACTGAAATACCGGTGAATAGTCACACTAGCCCGGTCTCATCAAACCATCGTAATCATTTTGTTTTGTTCTAAGGCCTGGATTTGCTCCGTTGAGATCCGTTAACAGGTGGGAGTCTGAGTTTACCGTGACGTACGTAATGTGCCCGAGTGAGCTAGCATTTAGCATGTAGCCTAGCCACATTCTTTGCCACTAACAGAGACAGAGACCAGAGAAAGACTAGAGAGAGACTAGAGAGAGACTAGAGAGTGACCAGAGAGAGAGACCAGAGAGACTGGTGAGAGACTTGAGGGAGCCTGCAGAGAGACCAGAGAGAGACTAGAGAGAGACTAGAGAGAGACCAGAGAGAGACTAGAGAGAGACTAGAGAGAGACCAGAGAGAGACCAGAGAGAGACCAGAGAGAGACCAGAGAGAGACTAGAGAGAGACCAGAGAGAGAGACTAGAGAGAGACCAGGGAGAGACCAGAGAGAGACTAGAGCGAGACCAAAGAGAGACTAAAGAGAGACCAGAGAGAGACTAGAGAGAGACTAGAGAGAGACCAAAGAGAGACTAGAGAGAGACTAGAGAGAGACCAGAGAGAAAGACCAGAGAGAGACTAGAGAGAGACCAGAGAGAGAGACTAGAGAGAGACCAGAGAGAGAGAAGAGAGAGACCAGAGAAGCCATTTCTAATCTTTCCTCAGTCTAGTTTTGCTTCAAAACAAATCAATAAAAGTATAATAGCCCGGCGCACGCTAAAGTTGATGTCATTAGTATTTTTAGCTTCACATACAGTATACCTCTGTGTGTGTGTGTGTGTGTGTGTGTGTGTGTGTGTGTGCACTTGTTTTCAACTCCTGGTGGGTTCCATAACCTGAGATTCCACTCACGTCATGGGGACTGGTTTTACGTGGTGGGGCCCGAACACCGGACCCCACTGGTCCAAGCTTAATAATCAATGGGTAATGCTTTTCTAACGGTCCTTATGCAGTCTGTGTAAAAATATGGAAAGGACCCCTGGAGGTTTACTTTCCTGAAAAAAGTGTGTTATGTGTCGGAACCCTGGTGGTGGGTTGCGGGATATCAAGGAGGGGCACACTGGGGCAATTTCAGTCCAGCAGGCTGGAGCCAATCATGGAGCAGCACAACAGAGGCTGGAGCCAATCATGGAGCAGCACAACAGAGGAAATCAGGTGTCAGGCTAGAAAAAGGTGCAAGTGTGTGGTTCATTAGGCTGCAAGAAATCATGGAGGAGCACACTGAAGCGCACGCTTACAAACCACTGGTAAGTGCTGACTACAAGTCATGACTTCAAATTGTTATATAGAATGATTACAAATTATTTGTTGTTTGTGCAGCTTAGTCAAGAGTCCCTAATTGATGAAGTCGACTCAGATTCTGACGATTTAACTGTCAAGAAGAAACCTGTAAAAAAGTATGGAAAAAGAAAAATCAAAAACACTTTTCTTCAAGACTCGGAAAGTGACGAACCAAAGGCAAATAAGATTGTTATCATGCAGCTGCAAAAGAAGAAAAATGGGGGGCGAGTTTACAGCAAGAGACACTTCTGCCTCTACTGTTCAATGTCCTGCCACAAAATGTCCCGTCATTTGACTAGAAAACATGGAAATGAAAGTGACGTAGCCAGAGCATTGGCTCTACCTGTGAAATCTAAAGCACGTAAACTTCAGTTTGATTTGATCAGGAATAGTGGAAACCGTGAGCACAATTTTGAGGTTTTAAAGGCCGGCATTGGAACTTTAGTCCCAGCTAAACAGCCAAATTCCCCAGTTAAATCCAGTGAGTTTTTGCACTGTATAGACTGTGGGGCATTGCTTAAGCGAAAGTCGCTGTGGAGGCATGTGGCCAGGTGCCGGCTTTCACAGAAAGATGCCCAGGCTAAACCAGGTAGAAGTAGGGTCCAGTCCCTCTGCTCCCTAGCCCAGCCTGTACCGGAGGGCATCAGCAAAAAGCTGTGGTCTTTAATTTCGGCAATGCATCAGGATGAGGTCACGGGTGTTGTCAAAGCAGAAAAGGGGATTCTGAGACTCGGAGAGCACCTGTACTTAAAACACGGGCATGATAAGACTAAGCATGATTACATTAGGCAGAAAATGAGAGAAGTCGGTAGGTTAATTAACGAAGCAAAAACCGCAGGGAAACTGAAAACAATTAAGGATTTCTTTATTCCTTCCAACTTTAACCATGTGATTGATGCAGTCAGGTCTGTGGCTGGATATGATGAGGAAACAAATCAATACAAGACTCCATCCTTGGCCCTCAAACTCGGCCATAGCCTCAGAAAGCTAGCAGATATTCTTGAATGTGACTCAAAAATGGAGCATTGTGTTGATGAACTATTTATTAAAAACCTCCAACGAAGCCGGCTGCTTTTTGAGAAGAGGTGGGACGTCTGTGTTTCTTCTGCTGCCCTACAGACCCTCCGGCAAGCCAAGTGGAACACTCCGGACCTGCTCCCTCTGACTGAGGACGTTAGAGCCATGCATGCACATATCGAGGTATGTCGACCTGAATATGTGCAAACCCTAATAAGTGAGCCAACGTCTAAGCATTGGTCTAAACTGGCAGTTTTGACTCTTTGTGAGGTCATCATTTTCAATCGAAGAAGGGAAGGTGAGGTTTCAAAGATGCCACTGACAGCCTTTACCTTAAGAAGTAAGACTGGGATCCATTCTGACATTGCTCTGGGACTGTCCCAACTTTAGAAAAAGCTGTGTCAGCATTTTCAACGCATTGAAATTAAAGGGAAAAGAAGTCGGAAAGTGCCGGTTCTTTTGACTCCTGAAATGATTGCTTCGATGGAGGTGCTGGTGGAGAACAGAAGGGCCTGTTCCATCTCTGACCATAACCCATACTTCTTTTCCCGCCCGGGCGCAGACACCCACATCAGGGGATCAGACTCCCTACGCCAGGTAGCCAAAGAATGTGGTGCGGTGCATCCAGAGATGCTATCCTCAACCAAACTTAGAAAGCACATAGCTACTATGTCTACAGTTCTCAATATGAAAGAGAATGAGATGGACATACTTGCCAACTTCCTCGGCCATGACATTCGCATCCACAGGCAATATTACAGACTACCAGAGGGGACACTGGAGCTGGCCAAAATCAGCAAAGTGTTGATGGCCATGGAGCAGGGAAGAGTGACGGAATTCGAAGGAAAGAGCCTCGACCAGATACAAATTGAGCCTGAAGGTAATTCTTGATATTATTAAAATATGTATGATTTTTTTCCCCTAAAGGCCACTTGTATTTTTATTTTCTGTGCGACAGGGAGAGCAGTAGAGATCCTCTCACAAACAGACGGGCTAAAAGAAACTTCAAGCGGAGAACCTTCAACCATTCATCCAGATGCACCCCATGGTAGTGGCAGTGCCCCTTCTGGTAAGTGTACCAGGTGGGGGATTACAGCCAGGCTGCTTGGTCCTAACCCTGGGAGTGTATATTGCTAATATATTTTTATTTCTCTCCCTAGAACGTGTAAGAAAGCCATGGTCTGCATCTGAGGTGAAGGCTGTGGAGAAGACCATGACACCTTTCATACAGACTGGAAAGGTCCCTGGGAAGTCTCACTGCCTGGCCTGCATTAATGCCTCACCAGATGACCTTAGACATCGGACATGGAGTGGCATTAAATTCTATGTCAAAAATAGAATCACTGCAATTCGAAAACAAAATCTAAAATAAAATTCCTTTAAAATAGTTGTTTGGTTTCTATTGACTGTTTTGTATTACTTAAAGTAGTCCCAGTAAAAAAAGATTATGTCTATGGGTCCCATTCTGAACGGCCCTGTCAAAGGGACCCACCAGGTAACAAAAACGTGTATGTGTGTGTGTGTGTGTGTGTCTGTGCGTGTGTGCGCGTGTGTGTGTGTGCGTGTGTGTGTGTCTGTGTGTGTGTGGGTATCTGTGTGTGTGTGTCTGTGTGTGCGTGTGTGTGTGTGTGTGTGTGTGTGTGTGTGTGTGTGTGTGTGTGCGTGTGTGTGTCTTTGTGTGTGTGTGTGTGTGTACGTGTGTGCGTGTGCGCGTGTGTGTGTGTGTGCTTACATTCCATGTGAGCTGTATTTAGTATTCTATGAATGCCAGATCAGTTATGTTCTGTAATGACACGGGGGCGCAGTGGGGGGGGGGGGGGTGGCATGAGGGGGGGGGGGGCAGGAAGAAGGGAGGGAGCATGTGGGGGAAGGGGGGGTTGAGTGCGATCGATCGGCAGCGGGCTGTTCGCGGCGTTGGGAGCGCGCGGATCCATTGTGTAGGAATTATGATTGATGTCACTGTGGAAGGGACCAAGGTGTGCGCCGATAATGATGAATGCGCTCCCCGTGTCCGCCGCCCGAACGCCGCTCGGTGGATCATGCGCTGCGCCGCCGTGTCAACGTGTTTATGTTTCATTAAAGACGGTGGCGCGGTGCGGTGTGCCGTGTGTGTAGCCGCGTGTCCTAGAAGCAGCTCGTGGTGTTAAATATAAGTTGTTCTTGTTTGTGGTGAGGTCTGGAAGTTGTGGAACGATTAATATCCATCATAGCGCTATTAGCTCGATAGCTTCATGCTAATTTCACTTTTTACAGCTTTTTTCTGTGTTGTAATGACATGCTATGACATTTACACACTCCTGTACCATTTGTTCAATAGTTTTAGGAAAGAGGAAGGGAGGAAAGGTATTTTTATAGCACATTTTACAGCATAGAAGTCAGAGACAGAAGTTTAGCTCCAAGCTCCGACTCTGTGGATTCTCCTCATCCTCGTCCGTGAAGCAGAGTCTTTCGTTCAGTTAGGAAGGTATTAAAGATACTTTGTTTATGTTATTATTAATTAATGTGAAAATGGTTCAGTTTAACCCAATCTTAGCGTCTGAAGCACAGCCCTTTGTGTCGTGAAGGCCACGGACGAGGATGCATCTGTTTGGTACTTTGTATTTACGTGGCTTTGTTTTATCTTCTCTTTCTCTCCATCCTTCTCTTTCTCTTCCCCCTATCTCCCTCTCTCTCACTCCACTTTCTCTCTCTCTCGCTCCCTCCCTCTCACTCCACTTTCTCTCTTTTCCCTCTCTCTCCCTCCACTCTCTCTCTCACTCCCTCTCTCTCCTCCCTCTCTCTCTCCCCCCTCTCCCCTCCCTCTCTCTTACTCCACTCTCTCTCGCCCCCCTCTCTCTCTCCCTCCCTCTCTCTTACTCCACTCTCTCTCGCCCCCCTCTCTCTCTCCCTCCCTCTCTCTTACTCCACTCTCTCTCTCCCCCCCTCTCTCTCTCCCTCCCTCTCTCTTACTCCACTCTCTCTCTCCCCCCCTCTCTCTCTCTCCCTCCCTCTCTCTTACTCCACTCTCTCTCTCCCCCCCCTCTCTCTCTCCCTCCCTCTCACTCCACTCTCTTTCTCTTCCCACCCTCTCTTGCTTCCCATCCTCAGAGATGAATGGAGGATGTTGGACAGCAGACAGCAGACAGAAGCTGGTGTCATGTCCGGGACAGAACCCACACTTCCACAAAATTAACTTCATTTTTCATCACATCAACAACTGCTTTGGCTCCGGGTCCTTCGGGTCCTTCGGGTCCTTCAAAGGCCGATGGAGTTTACATCATTTCTCACTCTCAACTCACATATCGACAGTAACACTTATAACTTGCCCTCACTATATAACAGCTAGTTAAGTGCTATAGGTGTATACTAATGCTAATGCTAATGCTTACACTAACCCTAACCTTGGGAAAGTGTTAGCTAGTATTAGTTAAATGTTGAATAAGACCAGAGCGAGAGAGACCAGTGATAGACAAAAGAGAGAGACAAACAAGATAGAGAGACCAGAGAGTGAGACAAGAGAGAGAACAAAGAGAGAGAGAGATAAAAGAGAGAATAAAGAGAGAAACACGAGTCAGACCAGAGAGAGAAAAGAGAGACCAGAGAGAAACCAGAGAAAGACAGAAAGACCAGAGAGGCCATCGAGAGAGCGCGGATAGATAGACCTCCTGTTACTTACAATTGCAATAAAATGAGGGAGAGACCAAAGAGAGAGGGCGAGGCCAGAGAGAGAACAAAGAGAGAGACCAAAGAGAGAGAGAGAGAGAGACCAGAGAGAGTGAGACAAGACAGAGACCATGTGTTATGTGAGAAACATGCAAAAACAGTCTGTGTATGAAATGTAGTTTATGAATTGGATTGGTTTGGACATTATCAAACTTTATATGTTCCATTGACTCCTCAGTTCTCATAAAGAGGTCGGAATTCAGACGTAGAGGTCTCGCTCACACGTTTCCATCTGAAAGTTTCCATAATTACTCTTCAGAAACCTCTCCCAGAGCACGACAAAAGCTTTTATACCAAACTCTGCTTCATGTTTCTCTAACTTCCTCCTTCTCCGTCGTTAACAGAGTATTAAACTCCCCCTCTGAGTTCTGAAGCCGGAGGACGGGAACAAAGAGAGGAGGTGTGAGAGAGACCTGCAGCATCAGGACCAGAACGAGCCCAGAGAAGAGGAGAGTGAAGAGAGAGTGGAAAAGAGGTGGATTTTTGAATTGACTCAACTTTTAATCAATCGATCAACATTTGTTTAGCAGTGAATGAGTGCTGCACAAGAGAAAAAGGTTTTAGGTCTAAGGTTTCTCTCTGGTCTCTCACTTTGGTCTCTTCACTCTGGTTTCTCTCTGGTATCTCTCTGTCCTCTGTCTCTAGTCTCTCTCTATGGTCTCTCACTTTGGTTTATCTCCCCGGCCTCTCACATTGGTCTCTCTTTCTCTCTCTCTCTCTCAGGTCTCTCTCTCTGGTCTCTTTCTCTGTTCCCTCCCCCTGGTCTCTCTCTCTCTCTGGTTTCTCTCTGGCCTCTCTCTCTGGTCTTTCATTTTGGTCTCTCTCTCGGTTCTCTTCCTCTGGTCTTTCTCTCTGGTGTCTCTCACTTTGGTCTCTCTCTGTCTTCTCTCTCTGGTCTCTCTCTCTGTTCTCTTTCTCTCTCTGTTCTTTTCCTCTGTTTTCTCTCTCTTTGTTCGCTCTCTGGTCTCTCTCTCTGTTCCCTCTCTCTGGTCTCTCTCTGCTCTCTATATTCTCCCTCTGTCTCACTCTTCCTCATGTTGAAAAGCATCAGATTTCCAAACAGCACATGAACATTTCTGATTGTCAAGTTTGATAACAGAGCATTTGTGCAGAAGGGACAGGGCTACACATTGGTGCTATAGAAGTCCCTGATACAGCATTAGCCACGGTGGACCATGAATGTTGTAATATGGTTCAAATGTCACGTTAGTTTGATGGTGCCCTTTAAACCTGCCTCAGAGGGTCTGGGTTAGCCTTTCGTTCAAACTCACCGTGGGACAGAGGCTGGTCTATCCCTTTTTGGTCTCTCGCCCTCTCTGGTCTCTCTCTCAGGTCTATCTCCGGTCTCTCTGGTCCCTTTCTCTTTGGTCTCTCACTTTGGTCTCTATCCGGTCTCTCTCTCTTTCTCCGGTATCTCTCTCTCTCACTCAGCTCTCTCTATTCTCTCTCTGCTTTCTCTCTCTCTCTCTCTGTCTCACCGTCCAGTCTCTCTCTCTCTGCTTTCTCTCTGTTCCCTATCTCTCTCTCTCTCTCTCTGGTCTCTCTCTGGTCTCTTTCTCTGGTATCTCTCTCTCTCTCTCAGCTCTCTCTAAGCTCTCTCTGGTCTCTCTGATTTCTCTCTCTCTCTCTCCTTCCAGTCTCTCCCCCTGGTCTCTCTGATTTCTCTCTCCTTCCAGTCTCTCTCCCTGGTCTTTCTGGTTTCTGTCTGCTCTCTTTCTCTCTCCTTCCAGTCTCTCTCCCTGGTCTCTCTGATTTCTCTCTCTCTCTCCTTCCAGTCTCTCTCCCTGGTCTCTCTGGTTTCTGTCTGCTCTCTCAGCTCTCTCTGGTCCCTCTGCTTACTCTCTCTCTCTCTGTCTCACCTTCCAGTCTCTCTCTCTGCTTTCTCTCTGTCTCTGGTCTCTCTCTCTCTCTCAGCTCTCTCTAAGCTCACTCTGGTCTCTCTGATTTCTCTCTCTCTCTCTCCTTCCAGTCTCTCCCCCTGGTCTCTCTGATTTATCTCTTTCTCTCTCCTTCCAGTCTCTCTCCCTGGTCTTTCTGGTTTCTGTCTGCTCTCTTTCTCTCTCCTTCCAGTCTCTCTCCCTGGTCTCTCTGATTTCTCTCTCTCCTTCCAGTCTCTCTCCCTGGTCTCTGATTTCTCTCTCTCTCTCTCTCCTTCCAGTCTCTCTCCCTGGTCTCTCTGGTTTCTGTCTGCTCTCTCTGGTCCCTCTGCTTTCTCTCTCTCTCTCTCTCTCTTTCTCTCTCTCTCCTTACAGTCTCTCTCTCTGGTCTCTCTGATTCCTCTTTGCTCTCTATGTGTCATCTTCCAGTCTCTCTCTGCTTACTCTCTCTCTCTTTGGTTCGGGCAAAGAGCCTGAATCCGCTGCGTTCAAAGACGTCGTACAGTGTTGTAATAATATGCTTAAAACTCCAAAATGTCACGTTAGCTTGATAGGTGCCCTTTAAAACCTGCCTGGGAGCTCTCTGGTAACTCTCGCATTATCACACAAATATAAAATTAGCCTTTCCTTCAAACTCACTCACCTTTTACCTGCTCTGTGACTGTGAGGATCCCTGGCTTCGCTCGCGGCCTCGTTCGCCAAAGTAATTAACCTTAATTTGCCCAAAAAAAGAGAGAGAGGGAGAGAGAAAGAGATCCAGGGGCCGGTGGCTGTTAAGTGCACTTGCTGGTGTGCGTGGGGGGCCAGTGGTCGTCCCCCTTCACTCTAATGGGGTCCCCTCTTAATCAAAGCCCAAGTATCAGATCTGGACTGAATCAGGTTTTAATTGGGATCTCGGAGCTGGTTAATAGTTTTATAATTCGCGGCCTCTAATAGTGTCTCCGTCGGGAGCTGGACTAGATTTCTGTGCTCCACTGAAGCGCGGTTAAAAATGAACCTACTTTATGAACGTATGTGTGTGTGTGTGTGCGTGTGTGTGTGTGTATATGTGTATGTGTGTGTGTGTGTGTGTGTGTGTGCGTGTGTGTGTGTGTGTGTGTGTGTGTGTGTGTGCGTGTGTGTGTGTGTATATGTGTATGTGTGTGTGTGTGTGTGTGTGTGTGTGTGTGTGTGCGTGTGTGTGTGTATATGTGTGTGTGTGTGTTTGAGAGAAAGAGAAATTGCGGATGACTCAGAATCAGAAATATTTTTATTGCAATTGTAAGAAACAGGAAGTCTATCTATCTGCTCTCTCTCTGGTCTATCTGGACTTTCTGGTCTCTCTCTGGTCCCTCTCTACTCTTTCTCTGGTTTCTCTCTCTAGCCTCTCCCTCTCCGGTCTCTCTCTAGTCTCTCTCGCTCTCTCTGGTCTCTCTCTCTGGTCTCTCTCTCTCTGGGTGAGCCTCCTCCTCCTCTGCTGGTGTCTCTAACTTCTCTCCCAGCTCCAGTTCACATCAAATCCATTAAAACGAGGTCAAATGATCAAATATAAGACACAGCGGACAGTTCCCTGGAGTCCCGCCGCCCTGATCCAGTCCACGGTCTCCAGTGGGACAGGACTGAGGAGAAAAGAGGCTAAAAATGACACGAGACTGAGGAGACTGAGGCTATTTTAAAACACAGAGACTAAAATCACAAAAGGAGAGGTCTGAGTGTTCACTGACAGACACAGATCATGGAGAAGTTTAAAATGGGACAAAATACACAAAAATTACATGTAGACCCAGGACTGAGGCTGTAGATCCAGGACTGAGGCTGTAGACCCAGGACTGAGGCTGTAGATCCAGGACTGAGGCTGTAGACCCAGGACTGAGGCTGTAGACCCAGGACTGAGGCTGTAGATCCAGGACTAAGGCTGTAGATCCAGGACTGAGGCTGTAGATCCAGGACTGAGGCTGTAGACCCAGGACTGAGGCTGTAGACCCAGGACTGAGGCCCTTCAGTGTGGAGTTTGCATGTTCTCCCTGTGTTTTGGTGGGTTCCCCTAAAGCACTTTTATTTCCCCCACTACCCATAATGTGCACTGATGAAATATCCTCCAGTTTCAGTCCAAACAATAAATTTAAATTTGGAAAAAGACAAAAATAAAACTGTCTTTCTCCCTCTGGTGGCAGCACAGAGAATTACAGATCTTTTTTTTTAAACTTCAGACTTGTTCCACCACAAAATCTCTCCTTAACATAACATTTCACATTCTAAAACATGAAACGACAAAGTAACTAGACTCATTATCATTCCCACCACAATAACACATGATATTTCCTTATTATTCCATTCAATCCGGCGCACGAGAGCAGAAAAACCAGCACAAAAAGACACCGTAGCGACCGCACTGAGAGCAACTTGAGCTCGTATCACTATCGCCCCTCTCCGCTCCAAGGTCGCGCCTCAAAACCAGCATAAACTGTCCATTCAGCGCGGCGGCCATTCACCGGCGCGCGTACTTAGCATGGGCGCACTTAGCTGACATTATCTCTCATAGTTATTCAACAATTCAGCAACAAAACTCGAGATATTCTTGCATTCAACGCCACCGCTGCTGTCCTTGTTACGTTACAAAGAAATGTGTTTGCTAGCCGCGTGAATAGGTGAATAGGCGCCCCGTGTTTGTTTTGTTAAGAGGTATGTGTGTGTGTGTGTGTGTGTGTGTGTGTACCCTTCACCTCCACCTCGACACACACACACACACACACACATAGGTGCAGGACAATAGGGGTCACAGGTCAGCGGTGGGAAGGCTTTGTGTAGCGTAGTCGTAGCGCCCGCGGCTAATGCGCTATTGATTAGCCGTAGCTGTGACCGTGGCAACCGATAGCGTGGCGTGTGCCAAATGTCAAGAAGTCACGGTGAAACAACGCGTGCCAACATTATGGGCAATTTTACAGACGTGGCCCAAACGTGAGGATTTTGGATGTTTGGGGACGTTAAGTTAAAGCAGCAGAGGAAAGAAGGATGAGAAATAAAATATTCAAATTTGGCTACTAATTTGAGAACATTTTGACTGCCTTAACCCTTTGAAGGTATAATGGAGGATTTTTTTCCGGGTGGATCATCAAGATTATTGGTCCTCCCAATTGTCAATCATTCTGGTGATACATGATCGTCCAATAGGACCAGAGATTTTTGTTCAAAAAGTGGAGGGGGCGGTTCTTTCCTCAATGTTCATACAATCATGCTGCTAAAATCTACAGATGTAATCACACAACTATATATTTATGCACTACAATAGACATGGTTTTATACTTTATTAGGCTAAAGCTTGAGATGGTATTTTATTTTAGTGTAGAGTTATTGTTATTTATCTTGTGCTGTGTGTTCCTCATTCCGACTGTCTGTAACTGGTGAGGCAACACTGACATTTCCCCACTGTGAGACAAACAATCTCAAATTAGTCTAGTAACACAAATAATTTCTTTGTACGGGAGTTATTCTTTGTTGAACCCATCGATTTTTAAAACATTTTTTTGAAAGGCCTTTACCAAGTGATAGAGAGGCCCAAACGAAGAAGATTTCAGTTCCAAGCTTCAAGCCAAAGGACTAGAGGAAGATGAGAGAGAGACCAGAGAGAGACTAGAGAGAGAAACTAGAGAGAGACCAGAGAGAGACCAGAGAGAGAAACTAGAGAGAGACCAGAGAGAGACCAGAGAGAGACTAGAGAAAGACCAGAGAGAGACCAGAGAGAGACCAGAGAGAGAAACTAGAGAGAGACCAGAGAGAGACCAGAGAGAGACCAGAGAGAGACCAGAGAGAGAAACTAGAGAGAGACCAGAGAGAGACCAGAGAGAGAGACTAGAGAAAGACCAGAGAGAGACTAGAGAAAGACCAGAGAGAGACCAGAGAGAGACCAGAGAGAGACTAGAGAAAGACCAGAGAGAGACCAGAGAGACTAGAGAAAGACCAGAGAGAGACCAGAGAGACTAGAGAGAGACCAGAAAAAGCAGATCTCTCAAACCAGATTCAATCCCAATCTCCTCCATTGTCATCTTCTTCTTCTCCTCTTAAATTGATTAAAACGCCCGTGAACGCAGCTCCCATTCTTCCGCCGCTGCCGCCAAAAGAACCGCCACAGAGCGCACAATAGCCGCGTGCAAACCTCCCTCACCCTCCCCCTTTCGTCCACACACCCCCCCCACCCCACGGCTTCTCTTCGCACTCGGGCTCGGAATAGTTTTGGACGCTTCGCAGGTAATAATAAAGCCGGTTCCCCCTGAATGGGCAGCACAGAGTGAGAGCATGCAGCGCCTCTCGATGGCCTCCGGGGCGCGCCGTGCGATCTCTCTCCCCCCTATTCTGCGTCAGGTTTAATAAGAGCGAGGGGTCGTGTTTCCGATATCGGTGCGAAGAGAATGGAGCTGTAGACTCAATGCAGATGAGAGGCGGGCACAAGGACGGACAGGGAATAATACTGACATTCATGTGCGGTGGAGTTGAAATGTAGCTAACGAGAGAGAGACGCTAATGACATGTGTGTGTGGGGAGAGAAAGCAGAGAGAGAGAGCGAGAGAGAGAGCAGAGAGCAGAGAGAGAGAGCGAGAGAGCGAGAGAGAGCAGAGAGAGAGAGAGATGCAAATGACGTGTGTGTAGGGAGAGAGAGAGAGAGAGAGAGAGCAGAGAGAGAGACCAGAGAAAGAGAGCAGAGAGAGAGATAGGGCAGAGAGAAGACCAGAGAGGGAGAGAGCAGAGAGAAGAGGAGTGAGAGAGAGAGATCAGAGAGAGCAGAGATAGAGAGCGAGCAGAGTAAAGAGGAGAGAGAGAAAGAGAGAGATCAGAGAGAGCAGAGATAGAGAGCGAGCAGAGTAAAGAGGAGAGAGAGAAAGAGAGAGATCAGAGAGCAGAGAGAGAGAGCGAGAGAGAGAACAGAGAGCAGAGAGAGCGAGAGAGAGAGCAAATAGAGAGAGAGAGCGAGAGAGAGAGCAAATAGAGAGAGAGAGCAGAGAGAGAGAGAGCAGAGAAAGAGAGCGAGAGAACAGCGAGAGAGAGAGAGAGCAGAGAGAGAGAGATGCTAATGACGTGTGTGTAGGGAGAGAGAGAGAGAGACCTGAGAGAGAGACCAGAGAAAGAGAGCAGAGAGAGAGGGCAGAGAGAAGACCAGAGAGGGAGAGAGCAGAGAGAAGAGGAAAGAGAGAGATCAGAGAGAGCAGAGATAGAGAGAGAGCAGAGAGAAGAGGAAAGAGAGAAAGAGAGAGAGCAGAGATCAGAGAGAGCAGAGATAGAGAGAGGAGAGAAGACCAAAGAAGGGGACCAGAGAGAGAGACTAGAAAGCAGAGAGATATCAGAGAGAGGCTAGAGAAACTCCTGAGAGAGACCAGAGAGAGACCGGAGAGAGAGAGACCAGAGAGAGACCGGAGAGAGAGAGACCAGAGAAACACCAGAGAGAGCGGGAGAGACCAGAGAGAGACCAGAGAGACAGACTGGAGAGAGAATCTAGAAAAACATCAGAGAAAGAACAGAGAGTAAGGAAGAGACCAGAGAGCGACACGGTCAGTTCAGAGAGAGAGGCGGGAAGGACGCACAGGGAACAATACAGACATTCCTGTGGAGAAGCGGATATGAAGCTAAAGTCATATGTATTAATATGGAATGTAGCTGTTGGAGTCAATTTTAATACAAAAGTAAATTCACAACGACAAGATAAAGCAAAACCACACACTTCCTCCAGTTTTCTTCTATCTCTACATTTCATTTGTTTGTGTTCTGGCCTCTTTCTTTAGACAAGCTTTTTTTAGAACCAATCAGCCCAAAGAGTTAAATAGTGATTCAAAATATAATATGATTGGATGGATCTAAGGCTATATCCACACGAAGACAAAACGCTTATAATTTCAGAAACTTTTTCTGTAAACACGGAGTTAGCTCAGTAAATGTGTGCGTCCATATGAATGTAGTCAATACGCCTGAAAACGCTGTGAAACTATGCCAGACCTGTTGGTGGCGCTGTGACGCAATGACGGGATCAAGCCCAAACTTCCGTGGGCATGCGCGGAATTTTGTAAACAGACAACATGGCGAGTGGGCGAGCTGGTACTACATTAGTATGGACGGACGATGAGGTTGAACTGTTGCTTCGGGTCGCACTGGATTACAAAACCAACAAGCTACATTGTTGTTGTCATTATTTTCTGAGTGCGGCGCATGCGTGCTTTAACAAGAGGCGGGGCGATGACGCAAGCGTCTCAGATACATTGCGGAGAGGCAGTAACCACGGAGCGGCATATACGGAGTTTTGAAATCTAGTTTCAAAAATGTTCGTTTACACCCCCCCAAAACGCCGGCCTCGTATGGACGATACACTGGATTGATAAAGTATTTTTGCGTTTAGGCCTGAGCTTGACTTCGTGTGGACAGGGCCTAAAGCCTCAGTCCTGGATCTACAGCCTCAGTCCTGGGTCTACAGCCTCAGTCCTGGGTCTACAGCCTCAGTCCTGGATCCACAGCCTCAGTCCTGGGTCTACAGCCTCAGTCCTGGGTCTACAGCCTCAGTCCTGGGTCTACAGCCTCAGTCCTGGATCCACAGCCTCAGTCCTGGGTCTACAGCCTCAGTCCTGGGTCTGTTGTCATACTGTAGATTCTACGACCTTGTAAAGTTCTCCTTGACGACTGCTGTTGTGATTCAGGGCGATACACAAAAATAAAATTCAAAATGAGAAAAAGACAAGCCCTTTCTCTGTTAAAACCAAGCAGCTCCGAACCGTCAAACACAGAGAAGGCGAAGGGCGAGGAAAAACTGGCTAATTGATGATTTATTTTTGCTAATGTTTTGACAAATGCGTGCATGTGGTGAAGAACATTTCCTTTTTCCGTTGATATTTGTCCGTAACTCCCAGATCCATGACCGCCGCTGAAGAAACATACGTCTTCTTTCAAAAATGCACAATTGCTATCCGTGAGACAAGCCTTTTGAAATCAGAGCTAATTAACGGCAGATGTAGAAAAGTGTGATAAAAAGGTGTGTTTGCGGTGACTCGGGTTGTGCGTCTTTTGTGAGAGTCAAGGCTGCGGTGGTAATGAGGCCCGAGAGGCAAAGTAAACAGCTATTCACGGGTTTGAGATGTGACTTACAGAGGGTTCATTCAAAATATATGTATGTACAGTAAGAGAGAGAGAGAGGGAGGGAGGGGGGGAGGGAGGAGGGGGAGAAGGAGGAGGACAGGGGTGGTTCTGTTCAGTATCGCAATTTTTGTGTGTTTTTATGTCGATACAGAAGATGCAAGAAATCATGAAGAGAGCAGAGGTACGCCTGAGAGAGAGCAGGGAGAGAGACCGGGACGAGAACATAGAGAGAGAACAGGGAGAGAATAGAGAGAGACCAGAGAGAAAGACCAGAGAGAAAGAGAACAGAGAGAGACAGAGACTAGAGAGAAAGACCAGAGAGAAAGAGAACAGAGAGAGACAGAGACTAGAGAGAGAACAGAGAGAGGCCTCCGAGAGAGACAATGTGACCAGAGAGAGAGACTAGAGAGAGACAAGAGAGAGAGAGACCAGAGAGAGTGCGGCGAAAGACCAGAGAAAAAACAGAGAGAGACAGCGGAGAGAGATCAGACAGAGAGACTAGAGAGAGACAAGATAGAAACCAGAGAGAGACCTGAGAGAGACCTGAGAGAGACCTGAGAGAGACCAGAGAGAGACCAGAGAGAGACCAGAGAGAGACCAGAGAGAGACCAGAGAGAGACCAGAGAGAGACCAGAGAGAGACCAGAGAGAGACCAGAGAGAGACCAGAGAGAGACCAGAGATAGACCAGAGAGAGACCAGAGAGAGACCAGAGAGAGACCAGAGAGAGACCAGAGAGAGACCAGAGATAGACCAGAGAGAGACCAGAGAGAGACCAGAGAGAGACCAGAGAGAGACCAGAGAGAGACCAGAGAGAGACCCGAGAGAGACCCGAGAGAGACCAGAGAGAGACCTGAGAGAGACCAGAGAGAGACCAGAGAGAGACCAGAGAGAGACCAGAGAGAGACCAGAGAGAGACCAGAGAGAGACCAGAGATAGACCAGAGAGAGACCAGAGAGAGACCAGAGAGAGACCAGAGAGAGACCAGAGAGAGACCAGAGAGAGACCAGAGAGAGACCAGAGAGAGACCAGAGAGAGACCAGAGAGAGACCAGAGAGAGACCAGAGAGAGACGGAGGTCAGAGAGGAAGCGGACGCAAAGATTAAACCAGAGTTTAGTCACTCAAAGTTCAGTCTATAATCCTGAAATGGAAAGTGTCTGGGACCACTGCAAACTTACCAACACACAGGGGAGAGACAACGTAAACACTCTCATTGTGTGTTTTTAATTATCAAAAATATTGGCAAGGCACAGGTCATACACAAGGCAACTCAAAGTGCTGAACAAAGCAAACAATAAAATCAGAAATCATCACAAAACTTTAAAAATAGTGAGAATACAAATCCTTTAGTTGTTTGCAGCTAAACAAGATGGAGCCTGTCTCACATTTTCAGGAAGACTGTCCCAGATACTAGCTGCATGAATTTGAAACACTGCCTCTCCATGTTTAGTCCTGACTCTGGGACCAGCAGGAGACTAGTCCCTGTGCTCCTCAGAGTCCCAGCAGGAGGCCAGTCCCTGTGCTCCTCAGAGTCCTTCTTGGTTCCCATGGCTCTAACATGTCACACGTCTCTCTCTCTCTGCTCCTCCTCCTCCTCCTCTTCCTCAGACCTCTCTCGCCGCTTCTTCTCCTCCATCTTGTCTCGTTCGGCTGTTAATGAACTTCTTACGGAGCTCTATCTAATCTCATGTGACGGCCGTGTGTCACTGTCAATTACCCAGGCCCGATCCCGCCACGCCTGCCCCCATGCCGCCCGCCATACGGCCCGCGTCAGATGGAAAAGTCACACTCGGGAATGAACCGGGAGGGCGGGCAGACGCAGCCGCAGCCGCCAGGGGACATTCGCACATTTGGAGAAAGGAGACGGAGATTATTCAACAGGTGAGAAGAGAAGGAAACGTGTGGATGCGGCTGACCCCCTGCAGAGGCGAGGCCCGGCAGGTCAGGGAGGGAGGGGGAGGAGAGGGAGGAGAGGGAGGGAATACTTATGGAGTCATTTTGTTTGGGATGAGAGAAAAAAAAATTGAGTATTGGACTTTAATTTGATTTAACAGCCTAATTTTAATTTAACAGCCTCAGTCCTGGATCTACAGCCTCAGTCCTGGGTCTACAGCCTCAGTCCTGGGTCTACAGCCTCAGTCCTGGGTCTACAGCCTCAGTCCTGGGTCTAGAGCCTCAGTCCTGGTTCTACAGCCTCAGTCCTGGATCTACAGCCTCAGTCCTGGATCTACAGCCTCAGTCCTGGATCTACAGCCTCAGTCCTGGGTCTACAGCCTCAGTCCTGGATCTACAGCCTCAGTCCTGGGTCTAGAGCCTCAGTCCTGGTTCTACAGCCTCAGTCCTGGATCTACAGTCTCAGTCCTGGATCTACAGCCTCAGTCCTGGATCTACAGCCTCAGTCCTGGATCTACAGCCTCAGTCCTGGATCTACAGCCTCAGTCCTGGATCTACAGCCTCAGTCCTGGATCTACAGCCTCAGTCCTGGGTCTACAGCCTCAGTCCTGGATCTACAGCCTCAGTCCTGGGTCTAGAGCCTTAGTCCTGGGTCTACAGCCTCAGTCCTGGGTCTACAGCCTCAGTCCTGGATCTACAGCCTCAGTCCTGGATCTACAGCCTCAGTCCTGGATCTACAGCCTCAGTCCTGGATCTACAGCCTCAGTCCTGGATCTACAGCCTCAGTCCTGGATCTACAGCCTCAGTCCTGGATCTACAGCCTCAGTCCTGGATCTACAGCCTCAGTCCTGGATCTACAGCCTCAGTCCTGGGTCTACAGCCTCAGTCCTGGATCTACAGCCTCAGTCCTGGATCTACAGCCTCAGTCCTGGATCTACAGCCTCAGTCCTGGATCTACAGCCTCAGTCCTGGATCTACAACTAAATAGCAAAGTAAACAGTCTCATCATGTTTGAAAGGCAACATATTACATCCTATTGATTTAACAGTTTTAGATCAATATTGCGGTTCCATCCCTTTACCACTGATGGTACCTTTCTCTCTCTCTTTCTCTCTCTCTTTCTCTCTGTCTCTCCCCCCCTCTCTTGCGCTCTCTGTCTCTCTCTCTCTCTCTCTCTCTCTCTCTCTCTCTCTCTCTCTCTCTCTCTCTCTCTCTCTCTCTCTCTCTCTCTCTCTCTCTCTCTCTCTCTCTCTCTCTCTCTCTCTCTCTCTCTCTCTCTCTCTCTCTCTCTCTTGCAGTATCTGCTATCATAAATATTCTTGAATTCTACATAGATCTATCAGTATTCATATGTTTAGAATGTGATGGGACATGTCAACACTCAATGTGTAAGACTACTGACCACTTCTCTCAGCTCATAAGATTTCTTGTGACTCTGGAAGGACAGTAGGATCTCAGACAGGGGCCTGCCATGGGATGGCAGGAGACTTCAGATAATGGCTGTGGATGCATGGGTGTTATGTGTTGACTCTCCTAATTTCTATAGGGGCTTGCTGCTTTGTGTCTTCGGGGTCTTTTCTGCTATTCCATCTTAGGTTAGTCTGTAATTTGTCTGTATTCTGCTTACTGTATAAACATTAAACCTTCTTTTTATAGTTAGATTATTTACTCTCTCTCTATCTCTCTCTCTCCCCTCTCTCTCTCTCCTTCTCTCTCTCGCTCTCTATCTCCCTCGCTCTCTCTTCCTCCTTTTCTCTCTCTCTCCATCTTTCTCTCTTGTTCTCTCTCTCTCTCTCTAACAAATCTCTCAAAAGTTATCAATTTTTACTTGCTTCTATATTATGCGAAAGCTGTCGATTTTCAATCTGTTTTTTTTATTGTGAGATTTTACACTGACTTCTTTATTATGAGATGTTATACTTGCTTCTTGACTACGCTAAAGCTAGCCATCCTACACCTGCTAGCTCTCTCCCAAGTCAGAAACACATTCCCTAATCTTCCGGTGCGCTCCACAGTCATTTAAATCCCCCAAACTAGACATAACGGGACCTTTAGGTTCAGGCAGTGCATTACTTAGAGCTGGTGTGATGTCGCAGTGGTCCCGGGCGCCCGCTCCTCTCTTTGTTTTAATAATGTCTCCCTCACAGTCGCCTGCACAAACTCAGTCGCCGCCGCCGCCGTAATGTCACCTTCGTCTGCTCTGTTCAATGGCGCGTGGAAATAACACACGGGACATTGACGTCACGCGCTCGCGGCCCCCTTCGCCGCCTTCGCCGCCTTCGCCGCCTTTTGTAATGCAGAAATATACTTGTGCGTCCTGCGAGCTTTTCCATTTCCTTTTCTCATTTTTCCTCCACGCTTGTTCACAGCCAGAAGGGCCCTCCAGTTTTCTCACTCTCCGTGCGGATAATAAAATGCAAAGAAGGTTGAGATGATCCTGGTGGTCGCGTGACGGGAGCAGGTGGTGGAGTGGCGCCCGAGATGGCGTCGTAACGAGACGGTTCAAAGTTTCAGACCCGGAGGAAGACACAAAAGATGAAAGAATAGGGCTCTCCATGTTTCATTTCTCTGTGTTCTCCCGTGTTTCACTTCAGGACGGCTTTAAATAAGATCCTGAGAATGTGTTTTATGTGAAATGTAATGGCTTAAGATAAGATAAATTACATATTCCTTTTTACTCACATTAAAGCAGAGAAAGAAGGAAATAAGACTCAGATTGAACTCATAAATCTATTGTCTGTTGTTTAAGATAAGAGACAATAACATTAAAATAGTTAGTAAAAAAGAATAGAATATAAACAAAATCTGGAGCTATAATTGCACTTGGTTCAGAGGTATTTACAGATGTGTATATTGTACTTTAGCAGCAGAGAATATGAGCAGAATGAACTATAGTAACAGTATCAACAGGTACTGTAGGACACATCAGATGAATGGATCTGTAGTAATGGAATAATAGACATTGGTCCATAAGGGAGCAGGACTGAGGCTGTAGATCCAGGACTGAGGCTGTAGATCCAGGACTGAGGCTGTAGATCCAGGACTGAGGCTGTAGATCCAGGACTGAGGCTGTAGACCCAGGACTGAGGCTGTAGACCCAGGACTGAGGCTGTAGATCCAGGACTGAGGCTGTAGACCCAGGACTGAGGCTGTAGATCCTGGACTGAGGCTGTAGATCCAGGACTGAGGCTGTAGATCCAGGACTGAGGCTGTGGATCCAGGACTGAGTCTGTAGATCCAGAACTGAGGCTGTAGATCCAGGACTGGCTGTAGACCCAGGACTGAGGCTGTAGATCCAGGACTGAGGCTGTAGACCCAGGACTGAGGCTGTAGATCCAGGACTGAGGCTGTAAATCCAGGACTGAGGCTGTAGATCCTGGACTGAGGCTGTAGATCCAGGACTGAGGCTGTAGACCCAGAACTGAGGCTGTAAATCCAGGACTGGCTGTAGACCCAGGACTGAGGCTGTAGACCCAGGACTGAGGCTGTAGACCCAGGACTGAGGCTGTAGATCCAGGACTTAGTCTGTAGACCCAGAACTGAGCCTGTAGATCCAGGACTGGCTGTAGACCCAGGACTGAGGCTGTAGATCCAGGACTGAGGCTGTAGACCCAGGACTGAGGCAGAGGAGTTTACTTTTACATGTAAATCAATAGAAGCCAAAGAGAGTTGGAGCCAAACTTCACCATGAGCACTTCCCTATTGGTCTTCATTGAGCTAGCATGTTAGCATGGTCCATCTGTTTACAGTCTGTGGGATTTAATTGTGACATTCAGAATCCTAGTTTTGGATCAAAGTATTTTCTCATAAATATTATTCACGGACAAACACATTATAACAAATATATTCAGTAACGTCAGAATAATGTGTTTTTTTAGCCTCTGTTAAAAGCCACAGACTTCCCCTTTAATTACGTTGTCATTTTGTGGCTCTTTCTGTGTCTTCATCAACCTCTGATCGAGCGGCGTCTGGAACCAAGATTTACACAGGTTTAATTAGTATCAATACACACACACGCACACATATACATACACACATATACACACATATATATAAATACACACACATACATACTGTACATATATACACACATATACACACACAGATACACACATATATACACACACACACACATATAAATACACACACACACACACAGATACACACACACATAGAGTTTATATACACACACACATGCACACACATACCTATACATAAATACACACACATATATGTACACACACATACATACACACACACACACCTATACATACATACATACACGTAGACACACACATACACACACCTGTCCATACATACACACACGTAGACACACACATCCATTGTCCTCCAGGATCAGGGGTGCCCAGATTTACTGCCCTCTGGTGTCAGTGTGCAGACGTACAGCTTTGTCCTTGGAGGTGGTTTGTCCTCTCCAGGCCTCTGTAGGAGCCAGGTTTACTTTTAAGGCGATAATAACTCACTGTGTTCAAATAAAAGTCCATTTCTCTCCCGCTCGCTTCACTTAAGGACAATTTCATCTCGTCTGAGTTGATTAAAAGTGGCCGAGTTTAAAGTGGTTCTCACCCCCGCTCCTCGGAGCTTACGTCACTCACATTTCCTGTTCAAATCTTCCTCTAAATGGGCGTAGCCTGGAGGACTAAAGGGGGCGTGAACGAGACTGGGCCGTTTACATTGCTCTGGGCGGGGGGCTGCTGACGTCAGGTCCAACTTGCAGACGTCAGGTCCAACTTCTGTGCCAGTGTTGGCGCCAGATTCAAAATTCAAATGTAGTAATACAGGTCGCCAGCAGATGGCGCCTCACAGACGGTTTTAGGCAGAAAGTTTAACTTTCAACTAATTTGCACCAAAGTGAAAAAACTATGACCAGGATATGTAGACAACACTATTGGACACTCATTTAAATCGTTTATCAGCAAAAAAAAGTGGATTTGAGGGTGAGTTGTCCTTTAAGAACGAGAAAGCAACATTTACTTAAAGCATAACTATCGTGCTGGATTTGTGTCCATAAGAAACAATAATTAAACTATTTACTTTTTCAATTCATGTTTTAGAATTTGTAATAATGTCTTCAGTAGAAAATAAATGTTGAAAAAAGTGTGAAGGGTTAAAAAAAAAATCTGCCTGTAACTCCCAATGCTGCCACAGGAGGGAGCCACGACAATAGGAGAAAAACAGCCTGGTTCAAATGATGCTTTGTAAGTCTTTAAAGCTGGGGTACCTAACTTTATTTTGTCATAACTAGCTGATGATGTTTGTCCCTGTGAGTCACTATTTGAGTGTTTGGGCTGAGGGAGGGTGGTCCTCTCTTTGTCACTTCTCTGTCTGAAAAATATGATTTGAAGATGTGACAGAGAGAGACCAGAGCGAGACCTGAGAAAGGCCTGAGAGATACTTGAGTGAGACCAGAGAGAGACCAGAGAGAGACCAGAGAGGGACCAGAGTGAGACCATGGAGAGACCAGAGAGAGACCAGAGAGGGACCAGAGTGAGACCAGAGAGAGAAACCAGAGAGAAATCAGAGAGAGACCAGAGAGAGACCAGAGAGAGACCAGAGAGGAATCAGAGAGAGACCAGAGAGAGACCAGAGAGAGACCAGAGAGAGACCAGAGAGAGATCCCAGAGAGACCAGAGAGAGACCAGAGAGAGACCAGAGAGAGACTAGAGTGAGACCAGAGAGAGACCAGAGAGAGACCAGAGAGAGACTAGAGTGAGACCAGAGAGAGACCAGAGAGGGACTAGAGAGAGACCAGAGAGAGAAACCAGAGAGACCAGAGAGAGACCAGAGAGAGACTAGAGTGAGACCAGAGAGAGACCAGAGAGAGACCAGAGAGAGACTAGAGTGACACCAGAGAGAGACCAGAGAGAGACCAGAGAGATACCAGAGATAGAGATCAGAGAGAGACCAGAGAGAGGCCTGATCTAAGGATGTGCCAGAGGCCACTCTCATACAGTGCTGTTGTCTGTGTTGAAATCTAGGGACCTGAGCTTTAAATTAAAGGTAAGATTAAAACAAGTCTTGAACAAGACTCGTGTCCGTGTTGAGACAAACCTCGGAGCAGTGAGTGTGTGTCCGACTGAAGGCTGCTCCAGACCCTAATCAAACTCCCCCCCCCCCCCCCCCCCCCCCCCCCCGCAATCACCCCCACCTCATTCATCCCTCCTCCCCCCTTCTGTCTGCTCCATGGAAACGCGCCTCTCACACACACACAGAGCGCATTATGATGGGACACACACACACACACACACACATACACATACACACATACACGTTTTTTGTTACCTGGTGGGTCCCTTTGACAGGGCCGTTCAGAATGGGACCCATAGACATAATCTTTTTTTACTGGGACTACTTTAAGTAATACAAAACAGTCAATAGAAACCAAACAACTATTTTAAAGGAATTTTATTTTAGATTTTGTTTTCGAATTGCAGTGATTCTATTTTTAACATAGAATTTAATGCCACTCCATGTCCGATGTCTAAGGTCATCTGGTGAGGCATTAATGCAGGCCAGGCAGTGAGACTTCCCAGGGACCTTTCCAGTCTGTATGAAAGGTGTCATGGTCTTCTCCACAGCCTTCACCTCAGATGCAGACCATGGCTTTCTTACACGTTCTAGGGAGAGAAATAAAAATATATTAGCAATATACACTCCCAGGGTTAGGACCAAGCAGCCTGGCTGTAATCCCCCACCTGGTACACTTACCAGAAGGGGCACTGCCACTACCATGGGGTGCATCTGGATGAATGGTTGAAGGTTCTCCGCTTGAAGTTTCTTTTAGCCCGTCCGTTTGTGAGAGGATCTCTACTGCTCTCCCTGTCGCACAGAAAATAAAAATACAAGTGGCCTTTAGGGAAAAAAATCATACATATTTTAATAATATCAAGAATTACCTTCAGGCTCAATTTGTATCTGGTCGAGGCTCTTTCCTTCGAATTCCGTCACTCTTCCCTGCTCCATGGCCATCAACACTTTGCTGATTTTGGCCAGCTCCAGTGTCCCCTCTGGTAGTCTGTAATAGTGCCTGTGGATGCGAATGTCATGGCCGAGGAAGTTGGCAAGTATGTCCATCTCATTCTCTTTCATATTGAGAACTGTAGACATAGTAGCTATGTGCTTTCTAAGTTTGGTTGAGGATAGCATCTCTGGATGCACCGCACCACATTCTTTGGCTATGGCGTAGGGAGTCTGATCCCCTGATGTGGGTGTCTGCGCCCGGGCGGGAAAAGAAGTATGGGTTATGGTCAGAGATGGAACAGGCCCTTCTGTTCTCCACCAGCACCTCCATCGAAGCAATCATTTCAGGAGTCAAAAGAACCGGCACTTTCCGACTTCTTTTCCCTTTAATTTCAATGCGTTGAAAAATGCTGACACAGCTTTTTCTCAAGTTGGGACAGTCCCCAGAGCAATGTCAGAATGGATCCCAGTCTTACTTCTTAAGGTAAAGGCTGTCAGTGGCATCTTTGAAACCTCACCTTCCCTTCTTCGATTGAAAATGATGACCTCACAAAGAGTCAAAACTGCCAGTTTAGACCAATGCTTAGACGTTGGCTCACTTATTAGGGTTTGCACATATTCAGGTCGACATACCTCAATATGTGCATGCATGGCTCTAACGTCCTCAGTCAGAGGAGCAGGTCCGGAGTGTTCCACTTGGCTTGCCGGAGGGTCTGTAGGGCAGCAGAAGAAACACAGACGTCCCACCTCTTCTCAAAAAGCAGCCGGCTTCGTTGGAGGTTTTTAATAAATAGTTCATCAACACAATGCTCCATTTTTGAGTCACATTCAAGAAGATCTGCTAGCTTTCTGAGGCTATGGCCGAGTTTGAGGGCCAAGGATGGAGTCTTGTATTGATTTGTTTCCTCATCATATCCAGCCACAGACCTGACTGCATCAATCACATGGTTAAAGTTGGAAGGAATAAAGAAATCCTTAATTGTTTTCAGTTTCCCTGCGGTTTTTTGCTTCGTTAATTAACCTACCGACTTCTCTCATTTTCTGCCTAATGTAATCATGCTTAGTCTTATCATGCCCGTGTTTTAAGTACAGGTGCTCTCCGAGCTCTCAGAATCCCCTTTTCTGCTTTGACAACACCCGTGACCTCATCCTGATGCATTGCCGAAATTAAAGACCACAGCTTTTTGCTGATGCCCTCCGGTACAGGCTGGGCTAGGGAGCAGAGGGACTGGACCCTACTTCTACCTGGTTTAGCCTGGGCATCTTTCTGTGAAAGCCGGCACCTGGCCACATGCCTCCACAGCGACTTTCGCTTAAGCAATGCCCCACAGTCTATACAGTGCAAAAACTCACTGGATTTAACTGGGGAATTTGGCTGTTTAGCTGGGACTAAAGTTCCAATGCCAGCCTTTAAAACCTCAAAATTGTGCTCACGGTTTCCACTATTCCTGATCAAATCAAACTGAAGTTTACGTGCTTTAGATTTCACAGGTAGAGCCAATGCTCTGGCTACGTCACTTTCATTTCCATGTTTTCTAGTCAAATGACGGGACATTTTGTGGCAGGACATTGAACAGTAGAGGCAGAAGTGTCTCTTGCTGTAAACTCGCCCCCCATTTTTCTTCTTTTGCAGCTGCATGATAACAATCTTATTTGCCTTTGGTTCGTCACTTTCCGAGTCTTGGAGAAAAGTGTTTTTGATTTTTCTTTTTCCATACTTTTTTACAGGTTTCTTCTTGACAGTTAAATCGTCAGAATCTGAGTCGACTTCATCAATTAGGGACTCTTGACTAAGCTGCACAAACAACAAATAATTTGTAATAATTCTATATAACAATTTGAAGTCATGACTTGTAGTCAGCACTTACCAGTGGTTTGTAAGCGTGCGCTTCAGTGTGCTCCTTGTTGTATTAAATATAGGCTAAAAGGCGATGTGAATTAGATTGACCTGAAATTGAACTCTGTCTGTCTCCAAGCAAAAAGAAAGACCTTGTATTGCCCAACTCCCCTTGTCCCATTTTGTCCAAAGTGCATGGGTGAGTTAATGATAGTTAATCTGGGGGGATTCTGCTAATCCTTTCAAGTTGTGAAAGAAGGAGATGGAGTCCAGAATCTGGAGGAGAAGCCTTGAGATCCCTCTGCCTTATCTCAAAGGAACTAATAAATCTATAGAATTAGGAGGGGTAGTGCGTGAATGATTTCTGTTTAGGTCTGGCGAGACGGAGAAGACCTGATGGAGGCCGGACCCTGGACCAAGAGCTGACTGATACGACACGCCCCTTCTTCCCCTTGCACATTTACTTAATGAATAGCTTGAATGTGTGTGTTAGTTTTTTCAGTCCGGATCAGGGTTTAGCTGTGTGACTTGGTGGAGCGCCCAACCAATGTTACACCTTATATAGAGGATAGGGATTAGATACTTTTTGGTCCGGACAGCTGTTTTAGATTCTTTTTGTATTAGGGAAATAAACCTTTTTGAATTTAACTTTCTGAATCATGGTCATCTTTATAAGGGATTTTGAACACGTCATTTTTTAATACAATAATTGGTGACCCCGACGTGATCCCTTTGATGACTTTTCGCCTTCCCTTGGACTCTGCGTCTCTCCTCAAAGCGGCCGCTGATTTGAAGGTAAGCAGATACCTTTTGACTAATTAAAAATCTGCATATTGGACTACACAAATTAAGGGGAGAGAAGTTTTGTCCACGGAGGAGCTAATTCAAAAAGTAAAAATAGTAAAAGCCTAAAAAGTAGTGAGAGCCTTGCGAAAATACGTTAAAATTAAATAAAATAGGAGTCTAAGTAGCTAGAACCCTGCGAGAATATATATTAAAAGTAAAGATTTTTTGAGAAGCCTTGCCAGAAACAGAAAAGCCCGCTGTGACTAGCGTGGTTGACGGACGCGTCAACACACAAGTTAGGTTTAACCCATTGGAGCCTGGGGGAATTTTGGGCCCCCCCGAAAAATGGAGACAGGCATTCAAATCGAGCAGCTCTATAAAGAGATAGAGGCTCAGATTCTGAGTGGTCTGGATAAAAAATATAGGAACAAGGCAAAACGAAAGGCTGTGAAAGCATGGGAAAAAATACAGAACAAAAGGGTCATACCTGAGTATATGACAGCGTCCGCATTGGCTAAGATATTGCGGGAAGAGGAAAATAATTTAAAACAGCATAAACTTGAGCTTGAGGGAAAGCAGGGAGAGAGTTGGAATGAGCGTAGAAAAATTAAGAAGGAACTAAAAAAGGCTGAGAAACTGAGGACCAAGGTACATAATTTTGCTTTGGCTGCCACGGCGTTGGCAAAATTACCGATGGTAAGTAAAGACAAGGAAACAGAAAACGGAGCAATGCCGGTGAGTAATATATACCCATCCCTACCCACGGCTCCACCAAAATATTCTCTAGGTTTAGAACCAGGTAAGCCAAATCTAATATTGCCACAATATACATTTTCAGGAGAAGTGGCGGTAGGAAAGAGAGGGGACAATGACTTTGTAGACAGTGAATTTGACGAAGGGACAGAACAGGAGTCTGTGGGGGACAATAGAGATCCGAGTCAAAATCCAGCTGTCAGCCTCCCGCCACAGCTCCCACACACCCCTCACCAACCCCCATCTATTCAAGAGGAGCTCCTGCACTCTCTCAGAAATATTAGAGCTAGGAAACCGACCTCTGAATGCACCACAGACAGAGTTGAGGGAGAAGAAACCCCAAGTAGGACCCATGATTACGAGACCGCTAGACAGGAGAATGCAAAATTAATTAATAAAGCCGCACGCAGAGCCATGACTAGGACGGACAGTGAAAATGAAAAGGGAGACGGTGCCATGGCCCAGCCAATACTTAAAGCTAAACAGGCTAAAAAAGGAGCTAAATTCTCTTCTGACAGTAGTGATGACGGAGACCAGGAGCCTGGAGAAACTAGACCGGTGGCAAGCAGAACCAGGTCTCAGACAAAATCCATGTTCCCTCTGAGACCAGGACGAGGCGCAGCTGGGGGAGTACCATCCTTTTTCTGTAAGTGACATGCAGACTATAAAAGACAAATGCCTCCATTGTGTCAGGGAGCTGGAAACTGGATTTCCAGTCTGAACACATGGTTTACAGGTCATGATGTCGCGATGGGTGACGTCCGGGCAGTGATGGCAGCATGCAGTAAACCATGGGAGAGAGATGCTATTGAAAGACAAGCTGGTACTGCTGATGTTTGTGATTCTTCCAGATTTGGCCAGTATGCAAATGCCTGGTATGAAGCACTGAGGGAAAACTTTCCAACTCCGCTGTCTTCTGCCCCTCGTGAGTTAACTTGGCTGGAGTCTGAGGACCCACTTGTGTTTTATGACAGGAGTGTGACCAAGTGGATGGACACAGTAGGAAGACACCCTCACAAGGTCAGTGAAGTCATGCCTTTTAGAGCAGCTATTTTGAATGGTTTACCAGAAACAATACGCTCAAAGATTGAAGACAACCCAGATAATATTAACCCGGATTCAGCACAGTGGAAAACAAATTTAATCTTTCACATTAAGCGATATGTTGAAAATAAAACTAAAGAAAGAAAGAGTGTTGAAGATATGACTTGTCAACTTTTGAAGTTACAGCTTAGTGAAGCGAGAAATAAAGCCACCCAGAATAAAAAAGGAACCAGTAATCAGATGACTAATATGCCTGCTGGACTTCCCACTCCACCACGACAGGACTGGACAAGGGGAGGGGCCAGAGGTGGTGGGCGTGGGGGCCGGGGAAGAAGAAGGGGTGGAAGCTGGAAAGGGGGCAGGGATGTGTGTCACCTCTGTTACAGGCACGGTCACTGGGCGAAGGACTGCCCCTTTGAAGGAGAGGCCTCCTACTACCATGGAGCGCCTGAGATGGTGCGTGGGAGGGGCCCCCAGAGAGGCATGGGACCCAGACCAGAGCGCGCAGGCCCTCCCTCCCCATGGACGGCTCCGAATGACAACCTGGCCCGAGAGATGGACAATATTTCCAGCATGGGAACTACTGGGGCGAGTATGAACATGAACAATCTTACTAGGGCTGCCTAGGAAATCCAGGGGACAAGGTA